GGAATCTTTCCTTGAAGGGGAGGGCGGAAGTATTTGTTTCCCATATCTACCCGATTCTCCTTTACCGACTCTCGGTACTTCCACTTCCGTATGCCACACTAATATCATTAGTAAGTCTCTTGTTCTCTTTCTTGTGAAGAGGCAAAGCCACTAGTGTATTTCGGGAGATCTGTTGCCTTCATCCATCTGAAGACGGTCTAGGTATGCCTAGCCTTGTGATTCGTCTTGATATGCTTCGCATCGGGTTCTTGGATCGTTTGTGTCGCGAATCGGATGAGGAGGGCGCCTTCTGGAAGAAAGACACCCATAGAAATTTCCCATCCTTGAAAAGTGTGCACACGTGCGAGGAGGCCCACCGTTTACCTCGAGCGGAATGCTCCTTCTACCGTATTGCTCTGAAACGCCTCTTACGGGCGTAGGATGGCCTCTCCAACGGCCAGGCGTTGTCTCGTAGAGCATTATATCAAGTGTTAGTCAGGTAATCCGTTCATGATGATCTGATTGACGAGCTCGGTCTTACGAAGCAGAAATGTCTCAATAACGATGAGGCATCCCTCACCTGGCTGGTGATGCGTGGGGCCCTCTGGGTCGCCAAAAAACTTCACTCAGTGGGTTGGAGAAATCTCCAAACTGCCAACGCTGTGATGGGGAGGTCGAGACCCTGGGTCACGTTTTCTTTTATTGCAGGGTGGTAGCACCGTTGTGTAGATTCGTTGAAGGCCTCATGGTTCGCATGCTGCCTGGAAAGTTCTTTGTCCTTGAGGCCTCTTCTGTTTGTAGCAATGTGGCACCACCGTTGACGAAGGCTGAACTTTGTGTTCCATTGCTTGCTAGGTATTATGAGAGTTGTGATTTGGTCGACACGCCAGAAGGGATTCTATGGAGGTGAGAGTTCACTTCTTCCCAACTGATCTTGTACTTTAGGCTTTAGGCTTAAAGTCAAAATTAGGACGGAAAGGCGGCGACTCTCTTCATCAGAATTCGGCAAAAGGTGGATAAATCTTGCGCAATTCTGTAGAGTGAAAGTGGCTGACCTGCAGTGGCACTTTCATGTCGGTTAGGTATAAGATTTTGTCCTTCCTGGGTTGAACAGAGGCAACCCGTCTATTAGGCTAGTTTAGGTTTAGTTTGAATCTTTTGTTTTTCTTTTTCCGGTTAACTTAGCTAGGGTATGTATGCTCATTGGCCCCTTTGATTTCTGTCCCTGTTTTTCTTTAGTTTAATTCCCCATCCCCTCCATCGTTAGGTGGTCAGTGATGTCAGTTCTCTGGAAGATGAGTGAGTGATTTTTGGCTGGATGATTGTTTTTATACTATTAAAATCACGCAATTTTTTCGTCCAGTTAACTGATGTTTCTACCACATTTAGGGATTGTGGGGGTTTTTATTACTAACCTTATTTTGTTTTGTTTTCATGTAAATAGTATTAATTCATATTGTAAGTAATCATTGAGGATTTTTAAATTGTTGTTTTTATTCCACCACCACCACCACAAACTTTGAAATGTACATATGGGGATTAGTTAGGATTTCATAGAGACATTGAGGTATTATTGTGAATGTAGTAAGAAAGGTAGGAGAGAATGTGTTGTTTTGGTGGTAGGACTGTTGTTGGTATGTTTGGGTCAGTGTTTGTGACTAGCTAAGTTTAGAATTAAGACAGAAGACCGTCCTTTTCCCCAATCCCCTTTTTTGGCCTTGTGACACATTTTATACCCTCGTACGAATAAATATCTATTCCAAAATTCGCTTGAGGATGAAATAGAGCTAGTTTTTTAGCTTATATTTTTAAAACATGAGAACTCTTATGTAGCGATGTATGCAAACAGGTAAGGTACAAAGTACAGTTGGTTTTACTAAGGTGTGTAAAAAAAAGCAAAACAGGGTTTTTGTCCAAATATTTTTGCAAACAAGGCAGCTTATTCAAATTTCATCGACTGATTTACGAAATTTAACGAAACATAAACTTTGTAAATCTTGACAAAAATGTTAGCGATAACTTCAACAATACTAAATATTGGAATGATTTCAACACGCATAGCGTGTTGCAAATATAATTCAGCCCTTTAAAAGGATGTGAAGCCTCGTTCTGTAATGAAAAGGATTGCCGAGGTATGTAATCCGACTTATAGAAGAAACTGGTGACCTTGATGCGGATGAACAAACAGCCATGGTTTACTAATAAAAGGACATGGGAAAAAGGATAAATAAATCCGGTCACAGGTTTAAGAATTCGTAGGGACAAAATGAAACAATTTCAGTTTTGTGTAACAAAAAAAGTTTTATACAGGAATATTAAACAAGGTTCTTTTGTTGTTGTTGTTGTTCTTCTTCTTCTTCTTCTTCTTCTTCTTCTTCATCGTCACGTGTTCCTTCAGCAAGTAGGTGATCATAGTTCTTCACAACTTCTTTATAGCTCTTAATAAATTTTGTCTTCTTGTTATCTCTCCTAAACTTTGTTCCGCCGTCCATTTACACAAGTTCGCTAGTTAGGTTATGAGTTGTTTACCAATTTCCCTCTTGTCTTCTAGTTGTCCTGTGAGTATTAAATTTTCCATGCCTCTCTTTCCTCATTATACGCCATAATAAATCATGGTGATTGTTCAGATGAGCTCTTCGCTAGACCTTTTTTTTAAATTTAAGCGCAGCACGGGACTGGTGTCGAGATCCCATCAACTTATACTTGAGCTGTCTAGATGTAACCGTAAATTCTATACTATTGTCTTTTCTCGCCCTTCTCGCTTGTGGAACTCACTTCCGGCAGCATTTAATCCGCAAAAAATTAAATGCAATGTCAATCACTATCTACTGTCCTCCTGATTACTCTTCCCTCTCATTAATGAGATCAAGCGTTCACATCCTTTTAAAGGACTGGATTATTTTTCCGTCTTTTCTTTTTTTTTTTTTTTTTTTTTTTGACAGCACGCATCAACGTGTTGAAATCCTTTCGATATTTAGTATTGTTGATAACATTTTTGTTGAGATTTACAAAATCTACGTTTCGTTCAATTTCACAAACCAATTGATGAAATATAAAAAATTAAAGAAAAGCCATTACACCACCGTTCCGATATATGAAATAACTTTTTAAGATATATATATCTGTATATAAAATTCTGTGACTTCGGTTAGTCAGAATGAGGTAAATCTCCAAATACATGAAACTGCGAAGACCGTAATATATAACTTTCGAAGTTTGGTATAATAAAATGTTTTGCAACACACTAACGTCTGTTGAAAATCTCACAGTATTGAAATTATCGTTAACCTTTTTGTTGAGATTTCCAAACTCTATGTTTCGTTCAATTTAGCAAACCAATCGATGAAATTTGAATAAGATGATTTGTTTTTGAAAAATACTTTGACAAAAAACTTTACTTTGGTTTTTTACGCACCATAGTAAAACCAATTGTATTTTGTAGACCCTTGCCTGTTTGAAATTCTCCCCCAAATTCGGAAAAAAATACCATTACACCACGTCGAAGTATCCAACGTAATTTGTTTATATGTGAATGTTTAAAATCTGTATTTGCCTCTCCTCAGAATTTAGTTTCATTACAATTTTTTGCAACACGATAAAGTATTTAGTATTGTTGATGTTATCGCTAATATTTATTGTCGAGACTTACAAACTCTACGCTTTGTTCAATTTCACAAACCAATCATTGAAATATAAAAACTTTAAGAAAAGATATGCACCTAACAACATTGCATTTTTATTAAATAAGTATTTCTTATTCTAATCATTAAATTGTTTTTAAAATAGTGGGAGTATTTTTATAAAACTTTTAATTAGTCAAAGAAAATGAATGACAATTTATTATGACGAGCTTATAACGAAAGACATCATGTACAGAGAACAGGCCACATGACACCGTCCGTTATAACGCCCTACAATACGTTTCAGGGATGTTTGTAAGAAGGACCTGAAACACACAGGTATTGACTCTGGTTGCTGGGAACAGCTAGCAGATGATTGCGGCGGCTTACCCCATGCCGTTCATTGAAGAGTCTCGAAGGTCGTTAAAACGTGAAAGTTGGAGATAAAAAGAGAAGGAAAGAATCAAAAAGAAAGACAGAGCAATATCAGACTCCATTTCACATTACAATTTCATCTGTCACACCTCCAGAAGAGAGTGCCATGCAAAGATTGGTCTATTAAGTCACTCCAAATGCTGCTCGCAAAAGGACAATGTTTAACAAAAGAAGGCGATACCATTATCTCGTAAGATAAAGGGATGCTTACTACTAGTAGCATTAGTAATACTGTAATGAAAACAGAACAAGAGATTCTGTCTAGTAATCTTTTATTCAATTAAGAATCGTACTACTCGTCTACTTGACAAGCGGAAATGTACAGCTTTTATAGCTTGGATTATCAAAGAGGAGATAATCCATATTCACAACAAATACTACTGCAGGTTTCCGTGAAAAAATACTTAAAAAGAAATACTATGGCCTATCCGAGTCACCGTTCTTTTTCTAATGAGAATTGGAAAATGTCTTTTATATTTTTTTTTTCAAGCAAGTTTATATAAATTTTGTTTGATACCTCCATTTTTAGAATGATTCCTGCTCCGAGGGAATATATTTTCCCGCGAATTTGGCATTACGCGGTGTCAGCAGAATTTTATAAAAACAATTTCCATAGCCAACACAGTCCGCCTGCGTTTCAGATCCATCGTTCACTTTTAATAGGATCTCCGGAAAGTGCGGTCACATGGCGTGAAATGCTGAATCTTACTCGTCAATTCGTGATTAATTCTTACTTGAAATCCCAACGGTGTCTTTTATTTCATTTCTCAAACACCAGGCATATTTCTTATATAAATATATATATATATGTGTGTGTGTGTGTGTGTGTGTGTGTGTGTGTGTGTGTGTGTGTGTGTGTATCTAATATTTCTTATTTTTTTATTACTATTTTGATAGCTGCCTTAAAGCCTATTGTGTTACACCAGAAATATTCCTGAAATTGTTTTTAGTTTGTTCTCCGAGAACATGGAAAAACGAGAGTACAAACGAACACGGGGAAGGGTAGGTGGAGCATTGTTTAAAAAAAATGAAAAATCTTGTTAAATGAGAAACGCATATCGTGAGTAAAATCCCCGATGTTGGAACAAGATTGAGTGAATATCATTTTAGAAGTTCAGCATTAGTACTTTACAACACATTACCCGTTTTGTTATTAACAATTTACCGAACGACCATGGTCGCCCACGTCCTGAAATTTCTGAGGATACAGCTATGTTCATAACAAGACAAGTTGGACTGATGTATGTATACTTTGAATATCTTTTTACAACACAGATACATTTATTTTCCATTTAAATACATATCTTTATTTGAATTATTTATTCAAAATGGTAATGATAATATCAGACGTTTGCTTATAAGGAAACATTCGTCATTTACCGAGCAGCAATTACTACTGGAGTTACGTCTTTCTTCTCTCCCTGACCATCGAGTTGGGATCAAAGTATAATATTTATTCTCATCATCCCTAAGGGTAATGATATCTGTTTCTTTATGAAGAAATATTCGTCATTCATTAGACAGTGCTACTGGAGTTACGCATTTCTCCGATCCCTGGCCTTCGGATTGGAATCAAACCTCTTCTCATCATCTCTAAAAGTACTGGTAATAGCTGTTTCCTTATAAGGAAATATTTGACATTCATTGACCGAGCAGCCAGTTTTGCTGCCGGTTGAAATTTATAAAATAGGTATCTCCAGTTCAATAACTGTTTTTGCTCATTCCAATATTGATGGAGGTTTCCTTCCTAACCTTTTGTTTGGAGAAGTGTGGAACGTCAAATTTTAATGTGTCAGTATTTTCTCATTTAATAATGTTAGCAGTAGTAATATTATTAGTTGTTGTTGTTGTTGTTCTTGTTATTGTTGTTGCTATTGTTGTTGAAAGTCCTCAATTGATGTGATTTCTATTGTCATGTTTTGAATCATTTCACCCCAAGCAAGACATCAAAGCCACTAACACGCATTTACCAAGTAAAAAGAATATAAAAAAAAACATTATTAAAGATCGAGAACAATAAAAGAACAGAAATTAAAAAGAGAGAAGACAATGATTGACATTTCATTTAAATTGTTGAAGCTCAAACTTGACTGAAAAGCATGAAGTCGGAAGAGGGTTCCACAATCGAGAAGTGCAAGAGAAGACTCTGTTAACATAGAACTTACGGTCACATCTAGCCATTTTCAACCAGTACTGCGCTTAAATTCATAGAGTTTACGTACCACAGACTATAATTCATCAAATCAATTCCCATGAAAATATTTATAGAAAAGACATAGGAAAGCTACATTACGATGGCATGAAAGTGACTGAAATAGAGATGCCAGGTTAGGACCAAAGACATTGCGGATTCTTTGGATTTTATCAAGGATCTCTAAATATATAGCATAAGCGCCAGACCATATCTGACAGCAATAGTCTAAGCATGAACGATTTTATAATAAATAAAGTGACAGGAAGAAACTTTCTCGCTAACATACTTCATTCCTTGAGGAAGTTCATAGAACTTTTATTTAGTAACCTCTATTTATACACAAAAGTAACCCTGGCGAAAAAAAAAATAAGATTATGTGTTCAAATATGGAATAAGAGAATGTTCTTAAATATTTTAAAATCTTTTGGTGTGAAGGTAAGGACAACTATGGAGGAAGCGAAATGACGTAAGTTTTTAGTATTTGAAACCAAAATGAATTAATACCGTTTTATGTAATTTTTATGCAATTTTTATATATTTTTATTATATTATATTTTTTATTTATTTTTAATTTGGCACAGTTTTTTGTGATTCTGTAACGTGGGTCCATGAGTTTCGAAAAAAGAATGGTTCTTGCTAAGACTTACAGGCTTCATGAAAATAAACACTTTTATATAATTTCTTATATGCTGCTAAAGGCGGCCATGAAACTTGATACAAAATTAATTCATGGCGGGTTTTACGATCACGATTTATAAAATTTATATAATAATATTTTGCAAAAATAAATAACTGTAAATGCACTGTAATTAGTAGTTGAATTTCATTTCTATATGAAATGATATATAAAATGTCTACATCCGTTCTACTAAATAATGGTAGCATTTACTTGAGGGATTCCATTTAACAAGCTGAATTCTTATTCTTGCTTCGCATGTTGCTTTCACTCTCGCTCTTTAGAAACGCATGTAGCCACCCCTTTTCTCCCCTACAAACTATGGGTTTAATAAGAGAGCAAAGATATTGCCAAATGGGGCTCGATGTCCAAACGGCCTCTCTAGGGTTAAAAATGATAAAAAGATTCGATGTGCTTCTTTTTTGAAATCAACAAAATTAAAAATCCAAATGAAAACCGTTTTACAATTTACTAGAACCATAATATTCGCACTAATGCTCCCGGGAATGGTAAGAATGCATCTCTTCTCCCTTCAGTTATAGGTTAAAGAGCAGACAGCATTGGATTCTCTGGCCTTGGGTAGCACTAAATCTCATCGAACTTTGGAGAAGGCAATGGGAACCCACTCCAAGAGGTGATGGCAATTTACAAATAATAAAGAAACGGTTTCTCTGGTATTTGTTAAAGTTTTATTCAATGTGGATATGATTTTCTTCCTCACTTCTGTAAGAAACGCTTAAATATACAAAACTGAATTGATATTATCGGGGTGAGCGCGAACGTAGTTTCTAAACTATTATCATTATTATTAGTAGTAGTAGTAGTAGTATTGGTGCTGTTGCAGTTAAGATGAAAATTGGAGTATAACTTTTTTTTATCCTTCAAGTTGGAGCATATTACCCTAACAAAAATCTCGCTACGATGTACTGTTTTGCTGTGCTTCGGTAACAAACGAACAGGCCCATAAAAACAGAAATGAGATCATTATTATACAGATTTCTTGTCCATTGACCGTTGATTACCAGGAAGCATACCACAGCATTTCTTCGAATACCTACCGTTAGGTTTTTCCGGACCTTGGTGGTTCGAACGCGAAATGAAGAGAAACATTGAAATCCTCAGAACATTGTTCAATTATCCGAACGAAATCCATATTAACATTTCATCTGAGACAAGCATTTTGAGAATTTAGGAAACCATACTTCACATTCAAAATTTTAAACACCGAAACAATGATTACGTTTGAGGAATGTTTAAGTTGGTTGTACGTTCAAACAGAAAGTTATTCATTACACCTACTTTAATCCATCTTCGGGTATTAGTAACAGAAAAACGTGAGGGCAGATTGAAACACAAATTAACGTACTTTTGTTTCATAAAAAATAAACTGCGCAAAAAAAAAAATGGATCAAAGCACTTAAAAATCTATATAATAAACTAGCAGCATGGCCCGGCGTTGCCCGTGCTTGATTCAAAAATCGTACGACTCATACAGCAATCGCTATCACTTGACTCAAAATATTTTTGCACTTCCTTGCCTTTAAAGAAGTGCCCTTTTCCGTGCTGTCATTGCTACATGCTTTACTTCTTGCCTATCTCACACTGCGAATTTTTCTAAGCTCTATACTAAACATTAAATCTGTTACGGAAAAAGAACTAAACAAAATGAACACAAAACGATCAGACTCGTAACTGGAAAAACCGAATGAAAAAAATGTTAACAACAAATACATTTTCACACCCAACCCAGTTCTGCGGAATCGGAATCAACGTTGAGTTTAAGCAATCGAATGAGCCAATTGGAGTAAAGTGCCATGCAGATTTAAATTTTTCCCCACTGGTGACGAATGCAGCTATCGATTTTTTTTTTTTACATGCTAGCATGCTAGTTAACATTCGTGTCAGTCAGCTGTTGGCTCTCACGTTGGCCAATAGAATCTTCCTGCCTATTCGTGGCAGCCAGCTATAGGCTCTCACTCTGGCCAGTAGAAAATGGGCGCAAACTACATGAAAACTGCCGTAGAAGCATGAAAAATCAATTATTTCTACTATCGATGGCAGTTGGGAATGCAAAGTCGGTCTTGGCCTTCCTGATAACTTGGAGCATATGCATGTAAATTTTGGTGCAAATCCGTCGAAAATTGCAGCCGTGCATTCGTTACACACACACATCCTGCCTTTTATAGATAGAGATGCAAATGTCAGTGCGTCACACTTTTTCAACTTTACTCCTAGAGATCATAGCCCAACATATCTTACCATTTTAGAATTAAGCCGACTCCGTGAGCAGATTATAAACATTCCGAGTCTGATCCAGACCTGCAATCCTGAAATTTTGGATTCCCAAGTTTTCATTACTACGATTGTTTTCGGCGAGTTTTTTACGTGATTTTTTGCGAAGAATTTTTTGTGCGATAACAACTTTTATAACTTGGAAATAAATATGGGAATAATTGAAATTAATTGCGAAATCCAACGAAAGTCACCCATGAAATAAAAATAATTGTTTGTATGGAAAGTAAGCGCCTACGTACATCAAACTGTCTTTAAATTAATTGAAGAATTATCATTGAACTTTTAAAAAGTAAGCTTAAATATTAATGCAATACTTAAATGCAGCGATCAATTTTGAGTTATTCTGTAGTTTATTGTTGCCTATCGCATCTACTCCTACCTACCTATTGTGATGCAGGCTCAATTAAGATCTCTCTGCAAGAACTAGTTTAAATGTCGCCCGATAGGGCGACTTTAAGCTAGTATTATATAAATGTTAAATTTCTTTGAAAAAATATGTTTTGATTTTTTGTTTTTTGATAATTTTGGTATTCAGTTATCCGTAATCTTGACTTATTCGAATAATTTTTTCTACCACTGTCCCATATTATCCAGATAATCGTTTAAGTACTGTATTCGTAGGGATTAATTATACTCGTTTGAAGATTGGATCTAAACAGTAAGTTGACTTGTAGCTTCGAGTTGAACTTGTTTCTGATCCTTATCCGCAAGTTTGAGCTGGAAAAAATTTACACAATTTAACGTTGCTTTTAGAATTTTTGCAATCTCATTCAAATACATATTTGTCATATTCGCTCCAATGTTTTTTTTTTAAGGGTACATCTCCACATTTTTTTTATTCTTTGTGCTTTCTTCATTTTTCTCCCATTCTCAGAGACCCAACTCCGCCTCCAAAAAGGAGTCATCAAATCGGAATTAATCTTCTTTTTTTTTCAAGTTGTCTTATAATACGGAAAAATGTTGACTACTATCTCTCGGTGTCTCTTTCCTGCTATCTCTCAATTAGAGTTTCTATCTACCCGTCTCATCTCAGTTCTTTTCGTATCTATCCCTCTCTCCCTCTCTCCCTCTCTCTCTCTCTCTCTATATATATATATATATATATGTCTGTAGATATCCCTCTTTCTCTCTCTCTCTTTCTCTCTCTCTATCTATCTATCTCAGTCTGTTTGCATCTATCCCTGTTCGCATGTCAGTTCACATGTATATCTATGTATACTTGTATCTATGTACCTATTAATCTATCTCTACTCCTATTCTATCTATCTATCTATCTATCTATCTATCTATCTATCTATCTAATCATCTATCTATCTATCTATCTCAGCTTGTTCGCATCTATCTATCTATCTATCTATCTCCGTCTGTTAACATCTATCTATCTATCTATCTCAGCCTGTTCGCATCTATCTATCTATATATCGTTGTTCGCATGTATATCTGTGTCTGTTTTATGTATCTCTTTATCCATCTCTATTCTTATCTATCTCTCTATCTATCTCTCTATCTATCTATCTATCTATCTATCGCCGTCTGTTCGCATCTATCTATCTATCTATCTATCTATCTGTTCGCATCTATCATCTATCTATCTATCTATCTATCTATCTATCTATCTGCCTATCCCCGTCTCTACGCACCTATCTATAAGGATGTTTGAAAATTTTTCACATCTTCCGAACAGCTGTTCCATCTGCCAGTTAAAACCCAAATTGGTGACTGGAATCCAATCCATTTCAAAAGAATTTTTCACCGGATGCCTGTGAAACGATCTTCGAGTCAACGGCCGCTGAGACATAAGTAGATTACAAACAATTCTACCCCAAACATTTTAAGAATAACCTCGAAAAACCACTCATGATCACAATTGACATTATCGAAACTAATGCAACTGTTAAATCAAAAAATAGAAAAACAACACTTATTTGCAAAAAAAAAACTATTACTTATATATTCGAAATAATTGTCACATCTGATATTCTAGATTTTACAAGCATTTTACACATATGAGTCATTCTCCAACTATTTTGTACTTAGCATATAGATTGTTGCATGAATGTATTGACCTCTTTTCATTAGTGTTATTATTATTATTATTAGTAGTAGTAGTAGTAGTAGTAGTAGTAGTAGTATTGATTTTCTTCCTCCCTTTTGCTAGAAATGCATAAACATACAAAATTGAATTGATATCATTGGGGTGAGCGTAAATTTAGTTTCTAAACTATTAATACTGTTTTTGTGATGCAAACGAATACTCGTTGTCACTCTCGTAATGGTCGTTGTAGTAGAGACTTTTTACTCGCAGATACAACTATAGTAACGCCGTTGAACAATACTGGTGTCAGACGCCTTTGAATAACACTCGCATTAATAGTACTTGCTCAATAATACTCGATCGAACAGTAATCCATATAGTGATACGAATAGAAGAATAGTATAATGAATAGAGTAAAAAAAAATAGCGGTCCGTATAGCAATAGAGGATATAATAGAAATGCAATCCGAATAGTAATAGAGGATAGACTAGAAATGCAGAACATTTAGACGCAAAGCTAATTTCTACTTATGCGTTTCCTCTATGGTCGCGTGATCTACTTAATCCAATAATGGGGTCGCCTGTGTTTGCTCACTGGCGATCTATGTTCAAACTCAAGTGTCGGCAGCGACACTTTATTCCTATATAACAGTTATTATTGTTATTATTAGTAGTAATAGTAGTAGTACTAGTAGTAGTAGTATTTCCTTTGATTTCTGTTGTATACTCATTTCTTTCTGGGTTCCAACCAGAGAACTAAGGTCAGAAATTACATTATGACATTTTCCACTGAACATTTTTTGAAAAATAAAAAAATAAATTAAAATCACACACATTTTACATAGATAAGTCCCATAATAGTAAGGTGCGAACTGTACTTACTTGTGAGTATAATTTTTTGTTTGTCTTTAAGGCTTGGGCTACCAGGGATCCCTTCAATCTGACCGAGAGCTCAACTGGAATTGTTGATATCACACGGCAAAGTCAATCAGGATCCATTCTTAGCTGCTCTTGTGCGCAATTGTGATGTCAGGGCGATTGCTCTCCAATCGCTTGTCAGTCAAGATGGTCCTATCCTACATGAGCTTCACTTACTCATCCTCAGATATTGATGATGGTGGATGCTTGTACACACCTCTGACTGAACTCAAAAACAGATTCCTGCATATCTCTCAATGTATTCTAAGAGCTACTTTGTCATGACGTCGTTTATACTCTATTATTATTATTATTGAACTAGATAACAACATGCCAACAAAGGTATTTTGGGTACATATATATGAAACCTAATATATCCATCATGGCACCCAATTTGATAAGAGTATACCAGAAACATGCACCACAGCCAATAGGTTATAAAATAAATAGTTTGGGCCCAGTTAGAAATACATTCAGATCAGATTCTGATTGAGTTTGTTCCCAAGTCGCCTTGGCTGCTTCACTTTTTAATCTTAAAAATCCTCTCGACAAACGCCTATGGTGTTCCCTACTTCTCCCGCAACTGGAAAGATATGCCCAAATTATTATTATTATTAATATTATTAACTTGTTCTAGTTATCACGGAGGCATAAACATCTTATGTAGATCATAAAGTTCACAGTGCCAATCCTCAGTTCGAGGTGAATATTTTAAGATTAGTATATTGGTATTTTGTCTTCAATTGCTGACTGTCTTGCTTAAATATGCATATTAGCAGGTTGGGTGAGCAAAATATACATCTATTCTCACGGGAAAGTGGATCACGACACCTCGGCCCACACTACCTTTAGCTTTGTTTAATATATCTTCAGTGAAAATAAAACTTATAAGTATAAAGTCAAATAAAGAAATAATGAAATAACCAATGGTAGGTTGCTGTGACACTGAGCTTAATCTTATGCTTGCCTTGCCCCGAGGAAAAGTCTATAGGCTGAGATGAGTATTGAGGTCACTGCAAATCTTACAAATACGAGAACAATAAAAGCAAATAATTATTTTGACAGCCAGCAATCGTGACTTAGAATATAAATGATTGGATGTATACATAATTAAAGAAGGTATGCAGTAAGAAGTTTCTAATAAGATTAGAAGTCACGCCAAGGTTTACTATCGGAGGACAAAGCCTTAAAACATATGCAACCCAGTTGACTCTGTCGAATAGCAAATCCAGAAAATATCAAATATTTTATTACTGAAGATATTATTCTCCAAACCTGTTTAATGCTGTCTACATTCACGGCCTAGCCGATCATGACTCTCCACAGATAATTATAGTTTAAGTAAACTGTCATGCATTTCATTTTGTAATCATTTCACCCCAAGCATGGCAATAAACCCCCTAAAACGCAAGGGGTTTCTGAGTGTGAAAGAATATGAGAAAAAGAAAACATTAAAGAGATAGAACAGTAAACGAACAGGAATTAGGAAACTTTGTAAATTCTCAAGAACAAAATAATGTCTAAATTCATTTTCATCATATCTTTAAGTTTTATTACAATTCTAATCATGAATTTTTAAAACAATAAACATTGCCGAGGAGTGAATGTAGTTAAAATAATAGCGGTGTCAATGGAAAAACCGTCTCTTTTGTCTTTTTTGCGTGCACGAAGGCCCAAGTTTACTCAGCTAATCTTGTACCAACCAATTATTACCTTTTCCGATCGCTGCAAAACGCTTTGATGGGGGGGGGTCATCAATTAAAACTTGATTCAAGAATTCGTTAAAAGCTGTTTACACTAAAAAATTACCGAAGTTCTTCAAAAAAAACTTCCACCTGATATGTATCAAGTCATTGCAAATCAGTCCGTTATGTGCCATACGTGATACACGCTTGGGCGATCATGTATCTTTCGATACATGTCTTTCTGCAGTAGACCAGTTGCCATCCAAGGCTATAGTACTCGGTCTGCCCTATTTACCCATAGCTGAGAGGATTCATACCTTTCCCAATGATATTAACACCTAAGTGAATGTAATGGATTCGACTGGAATTCGAACTCTCCGACTCCTCAATTAGGCCAGTTGACATCCAATGCTATAGAACTCGGTCTGTCCTACTATTTACCCATAACTTGGGTGGGGAGAAGAAGAGGATTCATACCTTTCCCAAGGGTATTAGCACGTAAGTGAATGTAATAGATTCGATTGGAATTCGAACTCTCCTACTCCTCAATTAGGCCAGTTGACATCCAAAGTTATAGAACTCGGTCTCTCCTGCTATTTATCCATAGCTGGGGGAAGAAGAAGAGGATTCATACCTTTCCCAAGCACCTAAGTGAATGTAATGGATTCGACTAGAATTCGAACTGGGTTCTCCGATTCCTCAATTCGACTCGCTATCCACTACTCTACTACTCATTGCAAAAAAAAGCTCCGATGAGCTGCTTTCACTGGTTCCCAGACTCCATGAATTCAAGCGCCCTACGAGGCTGGCATCCCGCTCCCACCCCTTACACTGTAGAAACTTTTAAATGTGGCTGTCTCTTCTGCTCCAATAGCTTCATACCTCGCACACCTCGCCCGTGGAACACTCTTCCCAATTACTGTTTCCCTGAGAGCTATAATCTCCAACTATTCAAATGTAATGTCAATCGACATCTCCAGTTACCTTGATCTATCTACTATCCTTCTCCTCATCCTTTCTTCTATCACTCCTATCTGCTCTTGCTCCAAATCTTCTGCAGCCCCCTGCATCCTAGTGGCTTCACGCCTTGCTCGGGGCGTAATGATTAAAATTTTTTAAAAATAACAGTGGATATATAGTTGAATAAAACGTAATGATACTTTATTCTTGTCAGAATAATGTTTGATTGATTCGTTTTTTACAGCTAATCTATTACCGTGCAATCTGCTTTGCTTACAAAATATATATTTAGTCCTTTTATCACGGTCGTTAGGTTTCAGGTCATCGTAACTAGCGAAGGCCGAAACTCAGATTGCTTATATAAGACTCTTTATGATTGATTCATTCATTCGCTTTCTACGGTTTAGAAAACCTTTGCAGGTTATTTTATTTAAACCCAGAAAATATGTTTAGCTTGCCCGATTTTTTTATGGAGATAATAATAACGGTTTAATGATACAGGTCTTACTAATTAACCCATAGCTGGGGGAGATGTGGATTCATACCTTTCCCAAGAGCCCTTGCGCGTAAGTGAATATAACAAAACCAACGATAATTGGAACTCGGCTCTCCGATTAACAATTCCGTGTCGTTATCCATTACACCACTCGCACATCCAAGCTTACAGCAACTGGTATTCTCGAACGGTCACTCATCTAGATACTGACAAGGCTCGACGTTGCTTAACTTCGATGATCGTACGAGAATCGGTGTTTAAAGAATAAAGTGGATAAACAAAAATGGAAATGATTGATGATTCAACTTAATAGAAAACAATTCAAATACAGACATTCCCCGTATACATAATGTTATAGCATACATATGGACGATAATGGCTATGTTTCCATTCACATAAATATAGTAGTAAATACTGTATGTTGGTCTGCAGTTGGAGATTCGTCTCCAGCTGTGCTAGTCAGACTCTCTGCCTCCGGCTAGAGAGTATCCACAGACGAGGCTATGTCGAAAGGCAGTCTCGTCTCAGGAAACTGACCAGTTTGGACCAGCTAAGACCAGCGACCCAAGTGAAGACACTCGGTTCCCCACGTTAAAAACTGACCTTGTGTCACAACCTGACTCAGGGAGGGGGGCAAGTAAATCAACTGCAGATGGAGATTCGTTTCGAGTTGTGCTGGTCAAATTCTCTGCAACCGGGCAGAGAGGATCCACAGACGAGGCTATATCGAAGGGCAGAGTCTCGTCTCGGGAAACAGTTACCCGACCCCGTTTTATACGGGGTCTTCGGGGAATTTTTAACCGAGCCTCAGGGCTCGGATACCTCACATTATATTCGGCCTTGTGACGCATCTGACCGCGTGGGGCGGTTGATAACTATCCTGCAGTCGAAGATTCGTCTCCAGCTGTGCTAGCCAAACTCCCTGCTTCCGGGTAGATAGGATCCCCAGACGAGGCTATGTTGAAGGACAAAGTTTCGTCTCGGGAAACAGCTACCCGACCCCGTTTTATACGGGGTCTACGGGGCATTTTTGGCTGAGCCTACGGGCTCGGATACCTCACATTAAATTCGGCCTTGTGCCACATCTGACCGCGGGGAGCGGTTGGTAGATGTCCTGCAGTTGGAGATTCATTGTGGAATTCATTTGACTCACTTCTAGCAATTGACTACTACTTCTACGCGCCGCTGGCGAATCTTATATGTGTTGTTCTCGTCTTGAGCATTATCGTTCATTACCAACCTTCGTTTGATTATTCTATTCAGTAACCTCCCCTAGGTTACAACACATAATAATAAAAGAAATTAAATGAATCTCGACTGACCAGAATTCCTACATAGAACTGAATAAATAGATTTTATTTGAATTGGTACAAATATCATTAGTCTTCTTGCAATCATGCAGAAGCTATACCAGAATACTAGTCGAGGATGCATCGCTCTCGGCTGGATCCATAGAAGAGAAAGTCTGATGGCATGGAGGTCCGAAACTTTCTATGGCCTCAGAATAGACACCATTGGAAAAGCATTTTGGTGCGTAATATATGTGTATAAAACAAACATATACAATTTCTCCCATATAGTTAAGCACAAATTCAGCGAATTTTGAGACATATTTGAAACATTTATTTCATATTATAGACGCAATAGGATACTGGGTTAATTTAATCCCCAATATTCAAGGACGTTGGAAAAATTGTCGAGTGTGGGTATATCCTAATTGTATATTTCGACATACCATATATATTAGCCAACCGCCGGTTGACTTTTGTTAGAGGACGTAGTTTTATATGTTCCAAGAAAGCAATATTTTAAGAAATTTAAAAAAAAAATTCTTAAGTGGCATCGTATTTTTAAGATTTCGAAACTGACATTTTCTAAACAGGCAAAGAATTGCATATTCTCTAAAAGCTTCTCACGGAATTCATTATATAATTAAAAGACGATAGTACTAATATTTCTTTTAAAAAGGAAAACTTTTAATAAACAAATTCAATCGATGAAAAAGATTTATTGCAACTCTGTTTTCTTCTTTTACGTGCCGTGTCATTTCAGGATTTCTTTCTTTAAGTATGAGTGTCCTTTTTGTTTCCATTTTCTCTAAAATTGTGTCATTGTTCACATGTTCAGTCCATGGTATTCTCATCATCCTTCTGTAGAACTAAATTTCTGTTGACTCAAATCTTTTCTTCATCTGCGATGAAATTGTCTAACATTCACTGCTCTATAGGAGGACCGATATTACATAACCATTCAGTGGTCTCTTCTTTCTTTCTAAGAAATGTTCCTGTTTTTTAATACCTTGCTTAGCTTTAGTGTCTTAAAATACGTTTTTCTAAGCACAGAAAACATATACAGCAATATACCATATGATAATTCAATATAATACAATCGTAATAAAGAATTAATTGATTGATTAGTTTTCTACGGCTTATGAACCATTTGTAAGTTATTTAAAGTCAGAAAATATTTTAAGATTTTTTTTTAGATAATAATCTTTTCGTGATACAAGCCTTACAAATTAATCGATAGCTGGGAGGAGAGGTGGGTTCGAGGGTATTTGTGCATAAGGGTCTATAACGAACCTAACAGGAATTGAAACTTCGCTCTGCGATTAACAATGCCGAGCCATTATCCATTACACCACCCATACATCCTGGCTCATAGCACCTGGTATTCTCAAACGGTTACCCATCTGGGTATTGACCAGACTTGACGTTGCTTGACTTCGGTGATCGTACGTACGCCCATAATAATGAAATCTGTAAATAAATAGTGTTCCAATAACTTGGAACGATTTTAAATGTGAATTAAGTTTAAGGGTCTAATGACTTCTATTTTTCTTTCAGATTTAACAACTTACGTCTTTAGCAATTTTAACCATGGAAAGATTAACAATCAAACAACGTGTTAAAGTTTCAAGAGTGCAATTGGAAAAATTGTTCGTAAATTCAAACAAACTGGGTCGGTGGCTGATGTGAAAACACCTTTGCGTGCACGTTTACGTCGTTCAGCTGAAAACATTGCTGCAGTGCAATAGAATGTGACCGAAAATCCAGACACCTCTATTCGTAACTTATTATAACTTATTTATAATCGGCTGGGTAACCGTAGAGAGGGTACATGATGAAAGACCCAAAACCTCTCTTTGAAATACCCGAAATCCTCGGTTAGATAAAGGGTGTTCCAATAACTTGGACCGATTTTAAATGTGAATAAAGTTTAAGCGTCTAATGAATTTTTCTTTTTCTTTTAGATTTAACAACTTAAGTCTTTGGCAATTTGGATACAAGTAATTTGTCAAACCAACATTTGTTTCAGTCGTTCTTACAAATGGGACCAAGATTAGGACATTAGGAATTAATATCTTACAAGTTAGGTTTTTTTTTTGGGGGGGGGGCTTTGTTTGTTTTTTTTTGTCTGTTTTTGTACTTTTTTAATTGTGCAGAGATGCCTACATATCATTTTTATGCATTTTAGTTTACATCTCACCGCAGATCATGATAAAACAGACTTTGCACTCAGTCCTCTTAAAAAAAACTCCACGTATAGAATTAACCTGAAGCCCAAATCCAGTGCCTTTTCACTCCTATTGGAGAAACCCCTGCCTCATTGATCATGTCTTCAGGGTTGAAGCCGTATTAACCCGGCTTGGTGAAATATGGGTTGGTGAAGCTGTTTAATCCAGAGTTGGGGTGGGTGGCTATTGACTTTGAGGATTTCACCCAACCTTTAACAGCTTTTGTTTTTATGCTACTGGGGTTCCACTTACTCTCCTCACCAGTTCACTATCTGGTGGGGGAGCCGGTTTAGTCGCCGACAACTCGACAACTCAGGTTGTCCTTCTATGACGGTTGCGAGCCAGGCTATAGAAGCCAGTCTGACTTTCCATTTTACCAATAGTTGTAGAGAGAAGAGATGGATTCATACATTTCCCAAAGGGATTTACAAGAATGTAACGAACTCGACTAGAATTCGAACGGATCTCTGATTCCACAATCCCAGCCGCTATCCACCGTCCCTCCACGGACATGAGGTGACATCACTGAATCACGTGACTGGACCAGTTGCACCTGGGAAGGATGATAGATAGATAGATAGATAGATAGATAGATAGATAGATAGATATGAAAGTATATATATATATATATATATATATGTGTGTGTGTGTGTGTGTGTGTGTGTGTGTGTGTGTGTGTGTGTGTGTGTGTGTGATTAAAATGGGATAGATAGATAATGAACAAACCAATATGGATAGATAGATAATGATTAGACTTAGATAGATAGATAGATAGATATGAAATTATACATATATATATATGTGTGTGTGTGTGTGTGTGTGTGTGTGTGTGTGATTAAAATGGGATAGATAGATAATGAATAGACATAGATAGATAGATAGATAGATAGATAGATAGATAGATAGATAGATATGAAATTATATATATATTTGTGTGTGTGTGATTGAAATGGGATAGATAATGAACAGACTAAGATAGATAGATAGATATGAAAGTATATATATATATGTATGTGTGTGTGTGATTAAAATGGGATATATAGATAATGATCAGACTAAGATAGATAGACAGATAGATAGCTATGAAATTATATATATATATGTGTGTGTGTGTGTGTGTGTGTGATTAAAATGGGATAGATAGATAGATAATGAACAAACCAAGATAGATAGATAACGAGCAGATCAAGATAGATAGATAGATAGATAGATAGATAGATAGATAGATAGATAGATAGATAGATATGGACCCAACTGAGATAGATAGATAGATAGATAGATACCCAACAGTGAGTGGAGAATCTCTGAGCTGCTTAACTTCGGTGATCCTATGATGACCTGATGTGGTTGTAAGCCTTAAGACTCTTTAGGCGCGTATTTTGAGACGTTTTCTTATTCATTCTTTCTCTTTGCTCGTTCCAGGGAAGAAAGCTACTTTGGCGTCTACCTCTGTTGCTGTCCCTATGTTAGCATACGACGCTGCCGGAACAAAACCATGTGCCTCTTCATACTGTTGCTCTCATTTGCCATCATGACATCATCGTTACTGACAGTCTTGAACTTCTCCATCACTGATTTAAACTTCGTTTCAAAGAAACGACGAATGTACGTCGGGCCGGATGATAAATTCGATTGCGCTGCCCTTATCAATCAGGTAAGACTCACTGATCCTAATAGGGCCGGGATGTTCCTGGCAGGATAAGTATTTATTGTAACGTTTATTAATCTGATGAACTTGCAAGC